ATGGCCTTCATCGATAACTCAAAAAATAACAGATGCTGGAAGGGATGTGGCGAAAGGGAACACTTCTACACTGTTGGTGGTAGTGTAAACTAGTGAAGCCTTTGTGGAAATCAGTGTGGCGATTCCTAAAAGCTCTAAAAATCGATCTTCCGTATGACCCCCAACCTCCCTACTGGGAATATACCCTGAAGAACTCAAATCACTCTATAAAAAAGAAACCTGCACACGTATGTTTATTGCAGCATTGTTCACAATAGCAAGATCTTGGAACCAGCCATGCTGTCCATCAAAAGAGGACTGGATTAAAAAATGTGGTACATATACATAATGGAATATTACACAGCCATAAAAAAGAATAGAATCATGAATTTCGCAGCAACCTTGATGGAATTGGAGTTTATAATACTGAGTGATCTCGCACAGAAACAAAGATCTGAGTATCACATGTTCTCACTCATAAGTGGACCTTGAACAACTATCATAATACTATAAGAATAGGATTGACAGTGGCGGAAACCCCTGGGTGGGGGGCAGGGAGGAGCAGGGAGGTGGGATTTACAGTAGTCAATATCTGTCTGGGAAAGGGGGAGCATACCTCATCAACAAGGGTACCTGCACAATGAATATTTGTATACCTAATTCTTAACTGTACCCCACTATTTTAAAACAAAAATATATATATAGTTAAAAAATAAAATAAAAAGAAAATAATTATCAGATTTACATAAAATTAAATAAATTAGTTATATGAAAACTTGAAGAGATCAACATTTTTAAAAAGAAACGGAAAGATAGTGACTAAAGAAAAAAATAAGATGTACCACTGAAATTCTAATCAGAAAAAAATCTTTTGAAACTTGGATGGACTTAGAGGCTGTAATACTGAGTGACCTATCATGTGTTATCACTTATAAGCAGACTTTGAACTACTATTGCAATACTATAAGAAAGGGATTGACAGTCGTGGGAAATTGTCAGGGGTGGGTGGGGGCACACCTCATCAACAAGGGTACCTGAATAATGAACATTTGTACACCTAAACCTGAACTGTATCCCACAACTTTAAAATAAAAATTTAAAACCAAACAAAAAAGAAATATCAATGTCAAACTAAAATACACTGGGAAGAATGAAAATATTAAAGGTTTTGAAGCATATGTGCATATTAATATACAGAGGGTGCCAAAAATGTATACAAAATTTAAGAAAGGAAAAAACTTATACTATATATATCAATAACAAAAGATTAATATAAGTCATGTTTGACTTCTGCAATTACAAGAGGTGCTCAAAGTGGTTACCATAGTGTCCAGACACTTCTAATTATGGTGAACTGACAGTAATATCTAGAAAACAACTTTTAAAATGTATGTACATTTTTTAGCAACCCTGGTATATGAAGCCACTATAAAGATAGGAAAACTATAAACTCTTATGCATTTAGTATAGCCTAAAATATACAAAGTGGGTACTGACAAAATTGTAAAAATAAATTGATTAATGTACTTTTTTAAAGTATTACTGTGTGTGAGAAAATAGTACATTCAGCAGATCAAAATAAATAAAATAATACAATTTGAACAATATAATTAACATTTTTGATAATACACAACAAACCACAAACATACATACCACAATATAAAACCACATCTTAGCCCAATTAAAATGCATAATCTTCTCAAGAACTCATTAATCATTATAAAAATGGACCAATTATTATACTACACATGAAATTTCAATAAACAAAAAAATATATAACTTAGACAGTGGTCTCTGACCAGATGTTTACTATTTTTAAAGAAAAATAAAAGTCAAAATTGATATATCTCTATAGAACAAGAATCTCCAAAAAAGGACCTAGCACAATAAATAATGATGTCAAAAAAACTTTTAGAAAGAAAACAACCTATATAAATTTAAAATTCAGAAGATCAGTTTAGACATCAGTATGATGGTCAACTAGAAGCCTGTCACATAGAATCTAGAAGACTAGAAGACTAACAAATCTCAATGGAATAAATAAAAAATAATTGATACCTATCGTATCTTAAAAAAATTAAATTAATAAAATTTCCTAATCAAGAATGATCTTAAAAACAACTGAAGGAAAACTATAGATTAGATCCATAGAACTGAGTATCAAATTTTCAGCTATCTTCTTAATGGCAAAAATGAAAATTAATAGATTATGAAATATTATATTTAATACATTAAAGGTAAATTAAGACTCAATAATTCTATGAAAAGAGAAAATATCTTTCAAACAAAACTCAGAAAATCTGTCATCAACAAATCTCACTAAAGGTAATCCTAAAGGATCTACATAAACCAGAAAGCATCCTAGATACAAATTCTAGTTATTTTGAAAGTAAAACTATAAAATAACTTTAAAATAATAATATACTTATGTGTTATAAAATGAAATATTCCACAACAGCAACAAATATGTAACTCAAGAAATATGTGATAACTAGGCAAAAATTTTTCTTAGATCTCTTTATTGTCAAATAGGGCAACAGCATCAATTGTCTTTAGATTCTGACAATGTAAGTATGCATGTGGTAATTAATAGGATTTCCTACTAAAAGAATAGGAACAAAATTAGAATAACTCAACTAGAAGTAGAAAAAATAAAATGATAAAATAAAAATAAAAAAATGAAAGAAGGCAACAAAAAAAGAAAGAAGGAAAGAAAGAAAGAAGGAAAGAAAGAAAGAAAGAAAGAAAGAAAGAAAGAAAGAAAGAAAGAAAGAAAGAAAGAAAGAAAGAAAGAAAGAAAGACAGACAGGAAGGAAGGAAGGAAGGAAGGAAGAAAGCTGGGCTTGGTGACTCAGCCTGTAATCCCGTGCTTTTGGGAGGCTGAGGTGAGTGGATTGC